AATTTGTGTCATCAATATAAGTAAATTGAGCATGGCTATCATCAACGTAACGTTTATAAATTTTTGGCGCAATATTGACGTTTTGAGCTTATTGAATAGCATTAGATTCAATATGTTGTAGATATGCTTCTGACAAGACAACCATAATGGATAGACCTATTGGACCAGAGTTTTTTAAAATATATTCTTTGTTTTCCCATGAAAAATAACACTTACTAATGCAGAGATCAATTAGTTTATGGATGTCTACTAAAGATAACTTAGTTCGTTGTATTAGATCATTTCTATCTTTGTTTAGCATATCAATAGTTGTAATAGTTGTTTTATCAAGTGGTACTGATAGGTATAAATTAATAACATAAAATGAAATTTGAACTTCGTCATTAATAAACCATTCTTTTGCTGTTGATACAAATGAAAATGATTTTTTTAACACAGAATTCATTTTTATTCAAAGTTGGTTGTATGATCTCAACAAGATGTTGCGAAAAATTATGAGGTGGTGTGCCGATTGTTGAGATTATTATTCGCATTATATAACCTTTTTCACTTTTCTAAGAAGATTGTTCTTAGAAGAAAATTTCGTAAAGTCAGCGTTAAAACAATCTTCCGTTTTGGTAATCCAGTAATCAACATACTTTGCCATAACAAGTCTAAACTGCCTCCGAATAGTCATCCAAGAGTGTACCAACTTAATTGCACATGTGGTGCATGTTATATTGGTGCATCAAGAAAAAAGATTTTCACACAAATTCAAGAACACAAAAATAATGTTACAAAAGCCAACTGGGAAACATCAGGAGTAGTAGAACACTCACAACATTGTAATGGCAAAATAAACAGGAAGAGCCCTATAACGCTTCCTATTATTTCAAACAACTAAGCCAGAAAAGTACGTGAGACTATTGAAATATAACGTGTACAATGTTCAAAACCTAAAGAAAACGTTTTAAATCGCGACAATGGCAACTTGGTGATGACTCACCATTGGAAAGCATTTTTTGAAAAATTGAAAAAATGTTGAAATCTGAAGTTGCAATGACATCATTTGTTTACGTTTGTTATAATTTTTTAAACGGTTTTTTTAACGGTTTTATTAGTTTGATAATCTCTCACTATACGAGCCGAAATATCACTTATAGAGAAAAGAAATAAATAGTATGATACCGTATATGATGTTTAAATGCTTATAAATACACATGCTATTAAAGATGTCACTTAAATTATATATATATATATATATATATATATATATATATATATATATATATATATATATATATATATATATAAATATATATATATATATATATATATATATATATATATATATATATATATATATATATATATATATATATATATATATATATATATATGTATATATATATATATATATATATATATATGCTAAAGTTCTGTAATTTCTAAATTTTTAGATCATTGAATTTAATTTTTTTGTTATTTATGTGCCCCAAGAAGTCCTTACGGTCTGGTCACAAAGCACCGTGGAAGTGCATTTAACCAGGAAGTTTACGTCTCCTTCCTTACCGTGACGCGAAATATTTCCAAATATTTTGAAATATTTTCTCGTTTCGAACCTCGATCTCCTGCTTATAAAGCAAGCGCTCTAACCACTGTGCAACGGCCGCACTAAATAAAAATCTATATAATAAAAAATGAAACAATTTTTAATTTTTTTTTTTTTTTTTTGGAATTTTAAGTTTCTATTTGTCGTAAAACAACACTTTAACAAATACAAACAAGGTTTCTGAAAGAAGATCGTACTGATCTTATCATCAGAACCTTTTACAAGCATTTAGCATAATTATTTACAATGAATATGATCTATATATAAAATAAACAGAAAAGTAAAACAAAAAGAGTCATTACATAAAACGTATTTTACAATTAACATAAAACGTATTTTACAATTAACATAAAACGTATTTTACAATTAAAAAAGTTCTAAATAAAGATACATAATTACAATTAGAAGAACCTTATTATGTCATTAGAAAATAAAATAAAATTTTTGAGTTAATGTTTGAAAATTGGAAAAGTGTAAAATATATCAAAATTTGGCAAAACAACTTTATTCCAAAGATATGGCGCACGATAAGCAATACCATACTGGTTAAACTTTGTTCGACAAAAAGGTTTATGCAAAAATTTATTATTTCTAAGAGTGTATTTATTTATTGGTTTTTCACAAAAGAGAAATTTAAAGATAGGTAGGGATAAGTCATTTTTTCCACAAATCCATATAGCATAAAATATTAAACACATTAAGCTCGTAAATATTAAGAATTTTCATTTCAGTAAAAAAAGGTTTGGAATGAGTGTATCGATCCGCAAAATTAATTAAACGAATCGCATGCTTCTGACGGCGGTAAAGACATTGTAACTTGCTTTTTTCTGTGCTTCCCCAAGCAATATTTGCATAATTCAAATAGGTACAAATAAATGAGTATTCAAGTTGGGTTAAATCTTTTTTACATAGATATGTTCTGGATTTATATAAAATTCCAATGCTTTTAGAAATTTTTGTGCTAATATAGTCAATATGCACTTTCCATGTGATGTTTTCATCAAGAAAAACACCCGAAAACTTTGCGACATAGTGTCTTTTCATCACAGTATTATCAATAAAGATATTTGGTTAATTTTGGGATAAATAAGATTTTTTTTGCGATTGGATGGAAGAAAATCCATTTTGTTTTGTTACTGTTAAGAGTACGCTTATTGCATTTAAACCATTTTGATATGTTTTTAAGTTCATCGTTTATGCTAGAAAAAAGTTTGTAAATATCATTATTGGAAAGAAATAAGTTGGTGTCATCAGCAAACATTATACTCATTAAATTTTAGGCCTTATTTAGGTTGTTTATATAAATCAAGAACAACAGTGGTCCCAAAATGGAACCTTGGGGAACGCCACATGAAACATTTAGGAACTCATTTGGATAACAACTATTACTAAAAACAAATTGTTTACGGTTAGATAAATAACTTCGGAACCATTTTATAACTTTTTAATTTATTCCATAGTATTTCCGTTTTTGTATCAAAATTTCATGATCTACAGTATCGAACGCCTTCGATAGGTCGATAAAAACACCTAATGTAAATTTAGGTTTTTCTAAAGAATTTGAAATTTTACGTACAAGTTGGATAATTGCATGTTCCGTCGAAATATTTTTTTCTAAAACCAAACTGGTTGGCGTATAACAAATTATTAGAAAGGAAATAATTGTATAATCTATTATACATAATGCGTTCTAGTATTTTTGAGAATGTGCAGAGGACGGAGATAGGACGATAATTACTGATATTTGTTTGATCTCCTTCTTTTAAAATTGGGGTAATTTAAGCAATTTTTAATTGATCCGGAAAAACTCCTTGGTGGATAGATGCTCCATAAACCTTATAAAGTATATCTTTTAATTGTTCAAAACATTCTATAACTATATTACCGTTTATGTCATCTGCTCCGCTTGCTTTGTTTTTTTCAAGGGATTTGAATGCTTTTTCGAATTCATGAAAAGTTAGCTCAGAATATAATTTGTTGGAACTAATGCAATTATTCATCTGTACTAGAAAATTGTTAAATATTGCTTTGGTATAAGGAATTTTACTTGCTAGCTTAGGACCGATGTCAGTGAAGAATTCATTAAACTCATGAGCTATAACCTTTGGTTCGCATAGGCGTTTGTTATCCATTATAACCATATGGGGAAGAGAACCTGAGCATTTTTGTCTGCCAGTAATTTTGTTCATTATTTGCCAATTGCGTTTTGTATCATTTTTGAATTTATCTAGGAGTCTTGTGTAATTTTTTTTTTTCAAGTTTTTACGAATTTTTTTAAAGAGATATTTATATTTTCTCATTATCTGATGATTTTGTTTTAAGATATTTTATATACAGCTTCTGTTTAATCTTGGATGATTTTTTAAATCCTTTTGTTATCCAAGGGTTATTTTTATTTTTTGAAGTTATTGTTTTTTCAATAATAAGAAAGTTTGCATCATAAATAAAACTAGTAAAGTTGTTTTAACAAGATAAAAAAAAAAAAAAAAAACATGTTACATTTAAAATTAAATTTTGTATATTTACTTCTATAATTTTCATAACAGTATTAGAATAAATTACTATAAAGTTTATACAAATTGTTTTTGACGAGAATATAATTAAAATATTTAAATCTAGAAACTAACAAAATGTTTTATCATTAAATTAAATGATTTAAGTTATCTAAAAACTACCATTACTACTTGACATAATTATGAAAAAATAAGTTAACAGTTTTTACAAATCTTCAAGAAATATTTACGAATGAAAATGTTTCATATACCCATCTTTCTCAAGTTAAATTTTTCAATTTTTCAAAATTAATCATTTAAAGCTCTGCGTGATATGTCATTTTATTTGTTTAAAAAAAAAAAAATTATAGATTTTAAGTTTTTATAAATTTTATCAAAAATTTTGAAGACAAAAACCACAAATAAATGTAATTTACAAGTAACATTTAGAAAATACAATGTTTTATATACTCAATAATATCTACAACCAAATTAAGCAACCCTTATCAAACTGTAAAACTAAAATTTAGTTGTTTTTTTTTAATTTTTGATTGAATGTTTTTTATAAAAACTGAGGAAGTTGGTTGATCAGAATTGTTTTATTTTACAATTTCTTTTTAAAATTTCTTTCTAACAATTTTAAGCTAGAAAATACCTATTATTTTATAGTTGCGATATTCTTGCAAAAGATTCTAGTGAATAGAGCCGTGGCTAGGCTACCCACACACCCTAATCGAAGGAAGGGGGGCTACTAAATTCAGTTAGCAAATTTGGGAACTCTATTACAAATTTGAGGACCTTTTTTTTAGTAATAGCTATTGGAAAATATTATTAATTTTGGGGCCTAGTTACAGGCTTTAGGTGGGAGTGGGCCCTCAACCCACTAGCCACGACACCGTTGGTAAATACTATAGCTATTATTACCAACACAATATTAAAATTTTATTTTAATATACAGAAGTTTGTCAACTGCCGAGATATTAGGAAACGGCTAAAAAAAGTTTAAAAGATTTTTCATGCATGTTAAATTCAAGCGTTATGCTCTATAGTTTCTAACTGATCGACAAAAGTACTTTTTAATGTTGAAGTTGATTCAGCACGAACACGCAATCCAAATAATAATCTAAATGCAGCTCGTAGCTGTCTGCTTTTATATGCATAGATTATTGGATTAAGTACAGGATTAAATGCAGCAAAAAATAATGTTACTCTTGTGAGACGAACGCCTTTTCTTACATCCTCGTAATTATTAACTGAGTAATTACCAATGACGACGGAAAGAAACCAATATGTAACAAAAGGTATCCAACAAATTAAGTAAACTAGCACAAGGAAACCTAACCATCTGAGGGCTTTTTGTTTTATTTCAAAACTTCTTTTTGATGCAGCTGAGTTTTTATTCCGTGTGTTTTTACTTAACCGACTTTTAATGTACAGTGTATACAAACTGGTGAAGTATGTAAACAATAGAGAAGACAAAGGCAACAACAATCCTAAAATAATTGTAAAAATAAAGTAAACTAGTGGATTAACACCACGGGCCCAATTTCTTATGCAGAGCTTGAAATTTTCATTGTATTTAAATGATATAACGTTAGGTATAACAAGTCCCAAACTTAATGCCCAAGTAAATCCGAACAACCATTTCATATTTTTTAACTTAAGTCTCCATGATACTTTTAATGGGTGGTTTATAATCAAGTATCTAGTAATAGAAAGCAAACTTAAAGTTATAAAAGATACAGCAGCTGCAACAAAGAAACCAAACAAACCATCTGTAAAACCGCATAGCAGATTTGCTGCAGTACCTCGTATCCTTGTCTCAGCTAAGTCAATGTAGATAAACGGATAAATGCTTAAACACGCAATTATGTCTGAAATTGCAAGGTTTAAAATTAGCAAATTGACGATAGTTCTTAGTTTACGATTACATATAATAAGGTAAGAAACCAAACCATTTGATGTGATACCTGAAAAAAAATTTAATAATAATAATAAATAAAGCCCAAACGAAATACACTATAAATAGTAAAAAATTTAAAGGAAAGTTTTTTTACAAAAAATAATAAACTGACAGGGGCTCAATAAAGATATGGAAGTCATAACACCAGCATAATTGATAGTTTACTTCAAATCTTTGAAAACACGATACTAACGGGAGTTAACAAACTTTTTGTTACTTCGAAGTACTGAAACAATTTTCAAATATCTCAAAATTTAATTTCAAAAAATAGGTCAAAAACCAGGATTTTTAATGCTTTACTCGAAGAAAATAAACGCCAAAAAAATAAATAGTTAATACAATATTTAAAACGCCTACCTTTTTTGGAGGCCAGAAGTTTTAAATGGTCAAATCTTTTAAACGATTTAAAAGATTATTAAAAAGATTATTAAATGAAACTTAAAACCTTATCTAGTTGTATATTTATTAATTCGATAAATTATTTTTTTATTGAACATTCTATAAAAATAATTTTCTTATTTATGTTAAAATTATGAAAACAAATTATCATAGTTGCTAATTATAGTTACAATAAAAAACTCAACGAAATACCAAAAAAAGTGTTTTTCACAGGGGGCTTTCTAAAACTTTTACAATCTGCTTCACAATCTTTTCAAAGTTTTACCATTATTTATAAAATAACTTATCTTTTTTTGAAAAACTCCCTAAATTTTCGAAAAATTTCCAAAATTATTCCTTCAATTTTCCCAAGTAGAAAATTAATTAATCCTTAATTGTTATATAAAATATTTAATTAAATTTATATAAGCATATAAAAAAAAAAAAAAACTTCTTTTTCTACAATAGTTTAAGTTATAAGGCAATCATTCGGCAATTATTCGGCATGAAATACCTTATTAAAAACACAAAAACGCCTAAAACTCAATAATAAAATTTAGTGAGTTTTTACGTTTCTTAAGAGTCATTTTTTGTAAGAATCAGGCAGTCAGAGGAAGTGACACCCTCCAAAAAGCTTGAATTTTTTATATATTGATCAGAATATAGAGAAAACGAGTTAGAGAAAAAAAAAGTTCTCAAAAATGCTTCGTTCACTCGGAATCTCGGTTTAAAATTTTGAGATTTATTGAAATGTTTTTAGAAATTTTGTTTTTGCCACATTTATTTATTTATTTATGCTCCTTGAGATTCAACGCCATGTTGAATCTATTATGAGCCATTGCTATTAACAGTTTCATAACAGTCATAGAGAACAGAGTTTCATAATTACCATATGTTTATCAAGCTTGTCCTTGAAGATATTTACACTTTTTGCGGAGATGATTTCTTCTGGTAGTTTATTCCACCATTTTGCAACTCTATTTGTAAAAAAATTTTCCCTTGGTCTGTTTCTTTTTATCAGCTCAATATCTACACTTGGTTTATGTCCTCTAATGTTTGAAGCTGGACCATTTGCTGAAATTGAAATTGCTGTTTTTGGTTGTTGATACCAACACACTTTGTTCAAATTATGAAATATTTTATAATATTGAATTAAATCATATCTTAATCTCCTGATTTTTAAAGAACTCAGTTGGAGTTTTTTTAACCTTTCTCCATAGGGTAGGTGTCTTAACTCTGGAACCAACTTTATTGCTCGTTGTTGAACAATTTCTAATTTATGTATGTCATTTTTATTATAAGGTTTCCATATTGGTGATGCATATTCAAGAATAGGTCTTACAAAAGTGCAATACAAAATCTTCATTGTGTTTTTGTCTTTGTAAGTAAATGATTTGCTTAGTAGACCTAATCGACTATTTGCTTTATTTACAACCATATTTACATGTTGATTCCACTTCATAGTATTTGAAATTAACAATCCAATGTCTTTTTCACTAGTTGTTGAATCTAATTTTGAATCTTTTATAACATATTCAAAATTTCCAAAATGCATGATTTTACATTTTTTGATGTTGACATTTGAATCCATTTTTTTGGCAAAGCAAAAAGTTACACATAACTTTTGTAGTTAATATCAGACGTAACCCAAATGTTCTCTCCAAAAAATATAAAAAGTTGCGTGACACTGTGCGGTTGGCTAATTATCATTGTTCAAAAGTACAAAAACATTAAATTTTGTCAATTTTTAACGGGAGTTATTTCTAACGACAAAGTGTTGCACACAATTTTTCTTTCAGGATTTGGATAATCCTGAAAGAAAAACTGTGTGTAATTTTTCTTTCGGGATTATCCACAATTTTTCTTTCAGGATAATCATGTAAAATTCTCAATATAACATGACTCTTACATAAAATAACATAACATAATATAACATATATATAATATAAAATATATTTAACATAATATAACATATATATAATATAACACATAATATAATATAACATGACCCTTACATAATTAAAAAAAATGTGACCTTCAGATATTAAGTTACAATTAAAGGTACAAAGTGTTTAAAATGATTAAGTAGGAAGAGATATTTTATGGGATGCACAGAAAAAGGATTCGGGTAGATTTTTGCTCAGCAGCACGATAAAATGTTTCTCTTCCAAAATTATCATTCAGAATTGCAGACAGGGCCGTTTCGAGGGGGGTGTGGGGTGTGAAGATGGTGCCCTTCCCCCCCCCCCCCAAAGCTGTCATTGAAGCATTTGAGTTGGCACATTGAGCAAGTTTTAAACTATAGTTGGTAAATTGAAAATATTGAGGACCTTTTTCCTTTTTTTTCGGTGTCTCTAGTTGGCAAAAAAAACATACAGCACTCCCCCCCCCCCCCACACACACACACACACACGGATGACCGTCCCTGATTGCAGAAAATATTGCAAGTAATGTTAAGAAATGATATAGAAATCATTACAATTAAAATATACAATAATAAAATACGATATATTTTCAAAGTTGAATAATTTAAATTTACTTTATAAGTAAATAACGTGTGGTGATTGAAAGGAACGATGATCTCCAATAGGGTTGGGTGGGGTAATCTGAGCCTATTTTTACCTATTTCTGACTTTGAGATAAAAAAAAAAGCGATGTTTGGGTTTCGGCTTTCTGACAAAAGATGTCTTAAAATCATGATTGGACATCCTGCTAAACAAATTTAACAAATAACTATTACTTTAATTACAATCAATAGGTCTGGGGAGCCTTTATTTGAAAATGCCTATATAGACTATATTTTTTTGATCACTGCACTTTTCTGGTAGCACTTGTGCTATTTTGGGCACTTCTTATATATTTTTGGGTATTTCTTTACTAACTCAGTAGAGATAATAGTTTTTTTTTTGTACATTTTTTTTAACTTGGTTTTTTTCCTCTCTAACTTTTTGTTCCTCAAGTAACCGTCGTTTGACTTTCTCATTTGTAAGGAGTTTTCCACATTTTGCTTGTACTCCCTTCCTTTTTTGTTTTTGTTGTTTTATTATTGCTGCTGTTTCTGCAGATACATTAGGACATATGATTGACCTTAAAGTCTCTTGCATAGCCGATCTTGGTGTTTGTAATCTTGGAGATTTAGGGCGATAACGTTCAGGTGATTGATTGAGAAAGTCAATACCTGTTATTCTTCTTTCCATCTTTTCTTTACTTAATGGTGAGATACCTGTACCGCAAAATCCTGCTATAGCATTAGCTGGAGAGAGTCTCTTACACAGTTGTTTCAATAATCATGTAAAAGCTGTTTTATCAATATTTTTGCGCTGTGTTTCTCTTGAAAACCGCTTTAAAATTTTTCCCCATTCATTTTTTAATGGTCCGAAGACAGCCACATCTAATAATTATAATGCGTGTGAGCAATTTGGTGGAAGACAAACAATTTGGATATGGTTGTCCATAGCCGCTTTTATAGTACCATATGTTAAATGACTGCCACGACCATCATAAAGTAAGAGTATTAGTTTTTGATCTTGGTCAACAAATGGTATAAAGTGCTCGACAAACCCAAACATAGAATGTATTTACTTCTATTGAATCATTTGTACCATCTTCAAGAACAATAAAGGCAACAACAAAAAAAGAAAAAAAAAGTTAGAAGAAAAAAAATGAAAATTAAAAAAATCAAGTAAAATACCAGTTTTCAAATAGAAAGTCTTGCATCCATCCACTTGCTGTTGCACCAAAAGTACATCCTGGTGGTCCATTTTTTATCCATTTAGAAAACAGATAGCCTTCTCCCTTAAAAACAACAAATGGTGGAAGATATCTTCCATCTGCAGGCACACAGAACAGCACAGAATAGATAGCTTTACCAGAAGAAGCAGCCAGTTCATAAGCATCTTTGCTTTTTGAATGTACAAATACTCTCTTCGTTAAGTGGTTTGTGGAGAGCCCAGTCTCATCAAGGTTGTATATACTACTTGGTACTATGTTATTATTATGGATTACATCAGATAAAATAGTAAAAAAATTATCTAAAACTTTGCTTTTCAAAAGAAAATCGTGGATCATTCAAAAACATAACATTATAAACAATACATTCTACATTCATCAACTAAATTTGTGATTAATTTATTTCATTCATTAATTTATTAATTTTTTAAACAAGTAACTAATTAATTTATTATTTTATTAAACAATTATTAGGTGTGTCACTTAAAGCATTGTTTATAATCTGATTGAATAGTTTTTTCATTTTTTGTGAATAGTAAAATTTACAAAAAATGCTCACAATTTTGAAATATATTGTTGTCATTATTAATAATAATAACAACAATATATTTCAAACTTGTTAGCATTTTTTGGTAATATAAAGAATCAGATTATAAACAATGCTTTAAATGACACTCTTAATAATTGTTTAAAAAATTGTTTTAAGGTCATGCGATCCAACGATAATAATATTTGGGAAAAGAATTGAGTAAATGCAAAGAGCTTAAAATAAGTCTTGAAAAGGATAAACAAATATGTGCTTTTCACCGGTATACCTTTGGTGTTGCATGGAGCCCTTCAAAAATGCTTTTATCCTCACCATCTAAATATAAATAGAAAAAAACCTCCCATTTTAAAGGC